TCCTCCTTCCCCCTCCTCCCCTGCTTCCAAGTCTGGGTTTCAGCCTCAGGCAAGAAAGAAGGCGGGTGGTGGGGGGACGACAATGGACAGTCCCTTGGCCAGGAAGACCCCCAGGGTTAGGGCTTCTCCTTTACACGTACCACTCTCTTAGCGTGGGCGCAGAGGTTTGACCCAGATGAATAGCAAGAAACCCAGGATGGTGTCTCACTCTTTCCCAGCCCACGGACACATCTCATCTGCTTGTTCTCTTTAGCCACCAACCTCTTATTTTGTTTTCCCTTTCTCCTCCCCTTTGCCATGCTTCACTATGCCCAAAGCTCCAGGGACATAGTAGGCGGCTGTTTGCCTCTCAGGCTGATCTGGAAGCTGTGCTTGGCACATCTGGTTCACGCTGAAGGGATTGCGGTGAGAGAACTTGTTTGCATACAGCTTTTTGTCTTCCCAGATGTTCACATTCTGTGACAGTGATCATACCTTCTCATGTAAATATTCCTAACTAGTCAGCTTGTGTGTGTGTGTGTGTGTGTGTGTGTGTGAGAGAGAGAGACACCAGACATCAGTATTGAATTTAGGGTCTCTCACTAAACCTGGGACTCACTGATTTGGGAAACCAGTTGGCCAGCAAGCCTCTCTCAGCTGTCTGCCAATCTCCACTTCCTCAGCGCCGGGATTTCAAGTGTGCTCCATGGTGCATGAGTGGGTGTAGGGGCCAGGGATTCAGTTCCTTGTGCTTGCCCAATAGGTATTTTATTGAGTGAGCCACCTTTCTAGCTCTGTACAAACCTATGAATGTTATTAGTTCCGTTTTACTTTTAAACATTGTTACACTTTATTTATTTATTTTCTGTGTGTTGGTATAGGGTGTGAAGGGAGTGGACAGCTGTGGAAGTCAGTCCACGTGGGTCCCAGGGGCTGAGATTGGGTTGTCAGGCTTGGTGGTAGGCACTGTCCCTGCTTAGCCATCTTGTTGGCCCAAGCTCCATTTGATGTCTAAGAGAACTGAGGCCAAGAACACCAAGGAGAGGGACCAAGTGAGGCTTATAGTCACAGGGGTAGGAACAGGCAGCACTGGTATTCGAGGTCAGCCTTTCTCATACTGGCTCTGGTGCTGGATCAAGGGGGCCCTGTGCTCCTCTCAGAAATGTGGAAAAGAATTTTTCAGAGAACATTTTAACCACACATTCCACAGATAGCAAAACCAGGTCCATGTCAACTCCTTTGGTTCCAGTTAAGTGACTGAGTGACTTGACTGTCTTTCCCACCAAGTATCATTGGTCTTATATCTGGAATGACTGGTCTGTCTTGTCACTGGCTATCTACCTGTGTTGGTCCTTACAATTGGAAGACAGTGTGAGCCCTCCTGTTGATGCTCTATAAAATGTTAGGTCAACCTCTCCATCCGTCTGTCAGTCTGTCTATCTATCTATCTTCCCTCCATCTCCATCCTCCTTCCTTCTCTCTCTCTCTCTCTCTCTCTCTCTCTCTCTCTCTCTCATAGTACTGGGGATTGACCCTGGGACTCTACACAATAGAAAAGTGCTCTACCCCTGAGCTATATCCCTGCTTATTCCCCTCCTCCCCCTTTGTGTGTGTGTGTTTGTGTGTGTGTATGTGTGTGAATGTATGTGTGTGGGGGTGGGTGGGGGTGTGACAAAGAGATATTAAGTTGCTGAAGCTGGCTTTGTACTTGTAATCTTCCTTCCCTAGAGCCCGGCATAGCTAGGATATAACAGGTCTGTGCCATTAGGCTGGCTTTTAGTCTTTTTTTTTTTTTTTTTTTTAATGAAGCTCTACTTGAGTGAGTACCAAGATCACAGGCATCCGCCACCACATACACCTGTTTTTCAAACTTGGTTTCTTCCTTTTGTTGTTGTGGTTTTAATTCCTGAGGCGCAAATCCTGTTCCTAACAGCTCTGGTTCATTGTTCTGGGCTGTGGTCTAGGCTTTGGGAGTTTTCTAAAGTTCCCACGTGGGTCTAGCAGCATCCAAGGTTGAGAACTGGCGTACCGCACAGTCTTGCCTTCCTGTGCGTGTATGAGTTGCAGCTGGAGACAGGACAGTAGAAGATAGTGTGTGTTTCCACGTGACCAGACTGTAAGTTGTTTGTAGCCAGGGATCTTTGGCACTCCGTGCAGCGTCCCCACCCAGTTAGTCCGCCACACCATACTTGTGCCCTGCCAAAGGCCGTTGACTGTTTAACTGGCTTCTTGGTTTCGGTGTCTCATCCAGGGGATAGGCAGTTGGAGTCTGATCACATCCAGCTGTTTTTATCCTCAGAGCCTGTTGACATAACAGAAGCATCTTATAAACATGCGAAGCACATTTGTTGGTCTCCAGAGTGTTGCTGGGTGACCTAGGCCCATTGAAAGTGCAGCCTTGGTCAACCTCCCACACTTTTGCTGCCGTGAAGGGGGGAAGTGTTCCCAAGTTCCTAAGTAGGATGCTATGTACTGCTGTGGCTTTGCCCAGGAAGAATTTCTCTTCAACTGGTTGGTCCAAGTGTTCATAGGTTTATTCTGTGCTACCAAGGGTCCATAGAAGCCTCTTGACCCTCATTTTATAAGTAAGGTTGTGGGAGTTGAAGTAGTTCAAACAATCTGTCAAATAAATGAATACAGAACCCAGGATTTGGATTCCCAGTATGGTTTGTATGTGTGCATGTGAGCTTGTGTGTGGTGTGTGTGTGTGTTCATGTGCGTGTGCACGTGTGTATATTTTACAGGGCATTGAGCATGCTGAGTAAGTGCTCTACTGAATGATCTATATTTCTTAGCTCTCATATGTATGTATGTATGTATATATATATATATATACATATATATAATTTTTACTTAGTTATAAGCATGTCTGCCTTTTTAACCTGAAATCTTAGCTGAAGCCCTCTGCCTGTCTTCCTTCCTCCCTGCTCCCACTGTGGGAATGCTGGTATGTTCTAGATATTGTTTTCTTTGGGAAGACACTTCTAATGACATCCTTGGCCTCTTCCTGGACCAACTGAGCTGAAAGATCCTTCTGGGATATTTTTGGTAATTTTATTTAGCATTAATTCAGATGTCATTGACTGAGCAATAATTCTGTGTCAGGCCTCGCTCTAGGTATTTGAAACACTAAGATAAAACTGTGTGTTCTTCCAAGCAGATTTTGATGCTGACAATATTTAAGTAAAATAACTTTTCATAGTATATGACTCCCAGACCCCCTAGATTGGAAGTCTCAAGACTGCTTGTTAAAGTGAAGATTTGTGGGTGGTCTACTTTAGAACCACTGGCTTAGGTTAAGTCTGAAGGAGTGAGCCTCCTAAGTGAGCCGTAGGGGCTTGGAGGCATGGCAGCTACAGAGTTGAGTTCGGTGGTACCAGTATGGTGTCCTATATGATGGAAACACCGGGCGTGTGACAGCTTGCTGGAGTGCTCATTTTATGGGGGGACACTAAAGGTCCTAGCTTCAGCTTTGGGGTGTCATGAAGAACCCTAGGAGCGAACTGCATAGGTACGGAGGAGAATCACTTTTTATCTGCTCTATTCAAAATTACTGACATTTGCTCAATGCAGAAACTGCCTGGATTATTCAGATCTATTGAGAGTCTTCCTGGGTTGCTTGTCTCCACACGAGGAGACCCTTTTAGATCCCAGGATAAGCTCTTGTTCTCATCAGTGCCCTCTGTGGTCTTTGGTTTCTGAACCCCCTCTTCGGGTAACTGATTTGTGTTTGTCAAGTTTGCCCTCTAGTGGTCAGAATGTGCATGGGCCTGTGGGCCATAGTTCTCCAAGTACTGCCAGCCCTATAAACCATTTGGTCACAGGGGAGCTGTGTCTTTTGTTTTGGTTTTGTTGTTTGCTTGTTTTAATTGTAAAAAAAAAAAAAAAAAAAAAAAAAAAAAAAAAAAAGGATTCAGGTTATTAGAAGTTTAGAGAGGAAAGAGAGGAGAAAGAATAGATAAGGCAGGGAAAGGATGGTGTTCCAGAGTGACAGGCTCCCATCCAGCATCTGCTCAGAAACCCTTGCTTTAGAGATGGAGGACCTGAGCCTTAGAAAGATGCTAAGAAGTATTCAGGTGGCACCATCAAACGTCGCCTCCAGCCATAGAATAACGTTCTGAATTCTTGGCCAGTGCCTTTTCTGTTTGAAGCCAGTGGACTGGAGCCCCTTTTTTCTGGATGTACTTGGAGAGCTTATTGTTTAATGGGAGTCAGCATGAAAGCCTTTAGAAGTCGTTGCATTTGGTCAGGGGTGGATGTTCAAGCATACACGTTTTTCTCAGTGTTTGAGGGAGCAGGGCTTTACAGCTCTGTATCCCATGTTTTGTTCTGAAGTCAAGAAGCATCTGTAAAAGCATCTGGGTGTGCATTGCGGCCTCCCCTGTGATTCTTGAAGGTGTGGTCCAAGGCTGGCAGCGTTAGTACCACCCAGGAGCTGCACACACTGCCCAAATTAGGTGCTCAAGGCCGCTGTCCGCAAGTGGGGCTGAAGCGACCCATCAGGCGATTCTGGCTCACAGAAAAGTTCGAGAGCCATTGCCTGCTGATTCAGGAGATTAGCCCCCGTGGCTTGTGGAAATAAGGCTTTTAGTGTTTTCAATTCTAGCTAGGTGACGCAGCATTGGGGAGTCAGGAGCAGCAGGGCTCATGTCACAAACCTCAGGTAGGATGGATGAGATCATTTAAAAGGTCTGGGTTTTCGGCTGGAAACAAGGAAAGACTGTGTAACAACACTGCCGTGCTGTTTCGGTGTGAGAGCACACATTGAGTGTGGCTCAACATGTCATCAGAAAGCAATCTTTTCACTGTCTTTCCCAGCGAGACGCGGCTCCTGTAACTCACGTCTCCATGTGTGTGAGCCAGCAGCCTGTGGTCACCCATCGTTTGAAATGAAGCAATCAGTATTCTGTTCTTCTCCACCTGCCCCGTATCGGTTGAGTGTTTGGGTTTTGTTTTTTGTTCTGTTTTGTTTTTGTTTTGTGTGTGTTATTAATTGTAAACGAAACACCATTTTCCGATAGAGTTGAAGCTCCAGGATTTCCTGGTGGACAATGAAACATTCTCTGGATTCCTGCATCACAATCTGTCCCTCCCAAGGCCCGCTGTGGACAACCTGCTGCAGGCTGATGTCAGTCTCCAGAAGGTAAGCTACCACCTTCAGATAAGTCAGTGGGGTCTGTCACAAGGACGTTGTGGAAGGTTCTGGAAAGACAGAAATAAAGCTCTGTCTTTGAAAAAGCTGTGAGGGGAGCTTTGAAGCTGTTAGAGCTTCAAATATATATTTTCCCTCATTTTACTCTCTGCTCTGGTTGACACAGACAAACCCCATAGCGAGTGGAATGTGTCGCCCAGGATCTGGGCCAGCTTGTTGAAATGAAGTTGATTTTGTATCTATTTTTTGCCATTGTAATGACTTCCTCCTAAAGTGGTTATATTTTGTGTTAAGGTGAATTCAATTTTTTTTTTAAATGTAGTTCTGAAATAAGAGCCAGAGGTGTCGACTCTTGAACTAGAATCTATCACAGAAGATTAAACAAAACACTTTAGGCTTCATTTTAAAGATAGGGAAGATACATAAGGAGAATTTTGTTAAAATTTAAAGTATAATATTAGTGTTTTTATAGACTTTTCACTTTACGGTCCTGGAGAATTTCCATGACATCATTTATTCTCATGCCACTCCTGGGCAGAGGGCATGGTTATACTTTTTTTTTTTTCAAGGCTTTTTCTTAACTTTGTTCTCTGGCAGAAAGGAGAATTGACCCCACACAGCCTGTGCCTTTGTACTGGCCTGACTTTACAGTAAGCAGAAGCCGTGGGCTTGTTTATGCTTGAAGAGATCTTTGCTTCACATGGCTGAGAATTTTTAAAATTAGAAAAATGTGCTTACGGCACGATCCTATGAAACTGGGAAAATACGCCTTGAGTTTACCAATTGTGTGGTTGGGAGGTGGGCCAGAGGCAGCAGACTTTTGAAATCCTTGCGTTTAGCATAATTTCCATTGCCCCCTGCCAACTTCCTATCTGTTGCGTGCCATCGGTTTAGAATAAGAGGCATCCTCTGGGCAGGTCTTTGCATGGTAATTAGAGTTTCAGTGTTGTTGGGGCTCTTCATCCCAGCATGGCAGCAAGGATTAAAGGCAGGAGTAAGCCTGGAGTGGACTTAAGTATCTGGCAGTAGGTGACAATTGAGTGGACGACATGGTGGGTGAGATGCTCTGCAGTGTTTACAAAGCTGCGTGAGTGTTGAGAGGCTTTGGCTTCGTCACTTCCATTGCTCTACAGGGCCACTCTGTGACCAGGATGGACTGCATTCAGTTAAGCTGATAAAGGGGTTGGTAATATTAAAATAAAGAGCCTGAATCACTCACTCATCCATTCAACAAATACTGTTCTAGTGCTATGGATACAAGTATGAGCCTCATGAGCAAGAACAATCTCATATTATTACAAAGGTTTCTGTCTGCTGGACAGTGAGGCTCGGATATGAAAAGTACTGTGTATTTAAACCCAGAAAGGCCAGCAAGGTAGGAGTGTATAGCCAAAGAGAGGTTTTCCTGGTGGGTTTGCATAGAGAACAGGTAAGAATGACTTAGAACGGCTTCACTGATGACTTGACAGTGGCCTGCCTTTTATATATTATACATATAAAAAAAAATATATAGCCTAATTTCAGGGTCCAATCTCAGAAATTCCAGAATAGTTAGGATGACTTTCCACTGATGGTTCCAGGGGTTTAGACTCTGGGTTTCTATGAGCTCTGTCATGTGCTCCAGTCATGTTAAGAAAAAGACTTGCACTAAGGATTTCCCTGTGCTGGAGGGACAAGAGTGTGGAGATCCTGAGTCATGCACGCAGATTTGAAACATGTGGCTGATCGCGCCTTGATTCATTCCACGGTTCAGTAAAGAGACCTCACCGTGGGGTGACCGCAGCGCTGCTCTTCTCACCATCTTCCAGGCTGTGTTGTCACACTCCCCCAAAGGCGTCTAGGACCCAGCTCTCCATCCTGATGATTTTTTTCTCATCTCTGTTTATACGAAATCCTTCCAGGTGTTTTTACAAGGCTACCAGTTACATTTGGCCAATCTGTGTAATGGATCAAAATTAGAAGAGCTCATTCATCTTGGTGACCTGGAAGTGTCTGCTCTTTGTGGCTTGCCGAGGGAGAAGCTAGATGCAGCGGAGCGAGTGCTGCGTTATAACGTGGACATCTTGAAGCCCATTGTGGTGAGTGGACAGGCTGTGAGCAGACGCTTCAAGAACTGACGCTTTCGGGATGCGAAATCTTTTCCTGGACAACATGGCCTGTTTTTGTAGAAACTTGGGGCTGCCTGGGACTTGGTGATATAATTCTGCCCACTCGAATTCTGAGTGTTCTTTGAAATTTTCGTCCATTTCCCAAGGGGTGAGTTGGAGAAGAGTGTTCTGGGTGTGGCTAAGTATATGCCCATGGTCTCTTGTGCCCCTTTCAACTAGAAAAGGCCCGTCATTCATGCTTTTTTAAAAATATAATATTTATGAGAAAGAGTCCATTTGAAGAAAGATTTTTTTTTCCCCTCTAGATTTAAGTTTTGAAATTATTAATGGGGGAGGGATAGCTGATTATTAGTGTTTTTAAAACCATTGGAAGGGGGAGATTGTGGTTAGATTGTAAAACATTGGGTTTGAGTAAGACCACATAAAAATCATTATGACAAAAATCACAGTGATAAAAATGTATTAGAAAGACACGCTCACCAAACAAGCCGTAATCAGGGAATGCAGGTAATTCTGGGGCATATCCGTCCGTCATCAGGGTTTTGTCTGTAGAAATCCTGGAATAAAGATACCTGTGAGTTTTCTGAGATCGCTATGAAACGCCTCCAGAAGTGTTTGCATTACTCAGCACTCTGCTCTTCTGTTTACCGGGGAGAGCTGTTGGGTCAGTAGATCCCCTGAAAAGTCATGTTCTTCACTATACCAAGGCCATGCTGTAAGCATGTTGAACACCATGAGGCTGCGTTTCATCATAGGCGGCTGTGCACTCTTAGGGGCGCCTAAGATGGTCAGTTTCCGTCAGAGGCCTAAGTAGATCAGACCTTGGCGTGGGCTCTCGGCTGTCTCAGCGAGGACTCTCTGACCAGGCTCTGAAGAAGTGCTTGCATGTGGCTCAACTCTTGTGATTCTGCAGCTGTTGCCTGAGGCATGGGTGACAGCACAACTGAGTTTCTTCTAGGTCCTTCTGTGGTGTGCCAGGGTGTTGTGACCGGCTCGACCTTTCCTTACTCTGGAAGTAGTTAATTCCGTTTCAGGCTTTTAAAAACTGCCAAGCGCTTGCTTAGGTGGTCTGTGATTCCACTGGTTATTGCGTCTATGACTGTTATTTCAAGTAAGAGGTATTTCTTGATGGAAGATGTTTGTAGTGCTCCAAGGAACAGCCCTACATAGATAGATGTACTGCTGCAAGCCTGTGCAGACTGTGAGACTTAGAGGGTGAGGGTCATTACAGTCGGAGTGAAAGGTCTGACAGGAAATCCACTTTACTTCATTATAAGACACAGAGGGAAACATTTGTCCTTCAAATTTAGGAAATATGAATTATTGTAGACGACATAGGAATTGATTGTGGTGCCCGTTTCTTCGATCTCACTTCAGTTTACTCACTAGACAGCTGTCATGCTTACAGCGCAGTAAAATCCCTCCTCTTATGGAGAGCCCAAACTACTCAAAATAGAATGCCACCATGGCCCTCATCCTCTGTCCATTAACAGCTCAGCTTTGAACTTGAAATTCCTCTCCAAAACATTTGGGAGGGTTTGCAAGGCCATGGAAATACACCTTCAAACCTGGCAGCAATGTGGCATCCTGTCTTGTTACGTCCTCAAGATTAGTAGCCTCGTGAACAAGTGTACCTCCTGGGCATAGAAAGTGGAGTTCTGCTTCTGCCCTTTGCTTCTCCGTAAAGTCAAAACATGGAGTTCTTATGAGTAAACTATAGGAAGTGATCAGGATTGTGCAGTGTGAAAATGTTTTGGAAGATTCTTCTGGGATGGAACGTCTCTCAAACATTCTGTAATGTTATTTATTGAATCAAGCAGTGGCTTAATTGGAATGCTGGGATTGGTACTTGGTTTATAATAAGCACACGTTTTCTCTTGCTACTTAGATGAAATTTTAATTTGTGATGGTCAGTGTATGCGACCTGTGCTGTTAATTGTGCCACCAGGCAGTTAATCGTGCCAAGAACTTTAAGAACAACAGCCAGATGCATGACCCAGTATCACGGAGAAGACTGTTCTGTTAATATGCCATTTCTGTACCAAAGGAGGCTCATCAGAACAGACATGTTTTGAAATATTTTCCCTTCGTGTTATTGTTATTTTTGGTGACGATATTTCCCCATTTACCAGCCAAAAATATTACGACCCTTTCTTCTGTGTCTCTTCTTGTTGGTTGGTGTAGTGGTCTTTGGACAACATGGGGCAATGTGGCAGAAGGCTATGATGTGAGAACAAGATCTGGGTTCAAATATTGGTTCAGCATTTTATAAATGTCATTGACTTTGGAAAAATTAACTTAGGCTCTACAAGACTCCACTTCCTTTTATTATATATGGAGATAATATATTTGCCATTTATTATGATTATTTGTTTTATGTAACTATACAGATATATTAATAGGTTGGTGCATACGAGTTGCTCAGTGAATGAAAAGCTGAACATTTAATTGACATAGTATAAATTGCATGCCAAAACCAGTGGCTGGTAAGACAGATGTTTCCTTCTGTAGATCAGTGTTAGGAATCAGAAGCAGAATAAACAAAGCAATCCTGGAGAATATGTCATTGAACAGTGATATTTTTGGTTCAGATATTGCAAAACAAAATAAAACAAAAACCAACCAAATATGAACTTCCAGATCAGTTACTGAACAGTACTGCTTACATCAGAATTGTTCTAGGAACCCTACTTAGTTAAGATGGTTAAAAAGTGGTTTTCCAGTAAGTACAAGGGTTGATTGATGTATGGAACACTGTCTCTAGGATGAATGCATAAGGTCATGGACATACTTACTGATAATCCTGAGCGTTCACAGTGTACTGTTGAGATAACAACCCTTACAAGGAGCTTTGGGTCATCTGGCCACATCTCGGGTTATGTCACTGCCCTGCAGGGTGGGTTTGGTTGTCCATGTGGGCTAGGCAAGCAGGTAAACTATCCTTCATCTTCTCTGAACTTTCCCAGAGAGGACAGGATGGAATCCTAGTTGAGGATCTCTGCCTTCTCTTGTAGGCTCCACTTCCCTTTGCACTGTAGGAGAGGGCCATTGATAATGGAGCAGCATAGTTGGCCAGAACAAGTTATTTGCCTCATTTGTCTCGGTCCTTGCTGTTGTATTCGCTTTGTTTTGTTTGTTTGTTTTTTCTTTTGCTTCTGTAACAAATTACCATACACACAGGAGCTTACTGTGACATGCATTTTATTACCTCAGAGTCCTGAAGTTCAGAAGCCTGGGTACCTTGGTTAGGAGTGCATCAAGGCTGAAGTCAAAGTGCTAGCGGGGTTGGGTTTCTTTCTGGAGACTCTGAAGACAGATATGCTTTTGAGCTCAGTTTCAGCTGAGTTCGGTTCCTTCCAGTTGTAGGCCTGAAGTCCCTATTCCAGCTTTCAGCCATGGGCATGGATGGGTCTTTGCTTTCATAGGCAGTGTTGTCTCTTTCATTCTTTTCACGTTCCTCTCTTGAGCCCCTGGACTGAGTCTCTTTCATGGTTTAAATCTCTGACCTTTGCTGCTGTCTCCAGTTAGAGAAAGTTCTGTGCTTTTAAGGGCTACCATCATTAGATCTGCCCATGTAGGCAATCCAACATGATCTCCTTGTTTTGAGGTCTTACCCCTCACAAAGCACGTTTTGCTCCACCATTAATGTATTCACAGACCCCAGAAATTAGGGTGTGACCACATTAGAGAGTCATGCACCAGCCACAACTGCCTTTGGATTGGAGAGGATATTTCATCATTTCTTTGAAATGCTCCCTAAGTGCCCCAGGCTTTTGTTGACCCCCCTTTAGCTCTCTGCTTTTTCTCACATGCTCTGAGAGTGACTCTATTGCACGATACACAGTACCCATCCAGGGTTCTGACACAGAGTAAACAGTGGGAAACGGCATGTCTTTCTGAAACATCCATCCACGAAAATCCTACCATTCTCTCTCTGTCTACACTCTATATTGTACTTCATTCAGGTGCTGAAGTTCACTCATGGGCATGGGAGATGAGATACTTGTGGAGTTTTCATTCTAGTGGGGTCTGAGGACCAGCTTTAAAGGGCAAGGCAGAATATTTAACTTGTGCTTTACAAGTTCTGGGGCTGAAGCGAGGCTTGTCCTAGACAGTTTGGGGTTCTGGTTCAGTGTTGTCTCAGTAATGTGGGAATGGTGTGTGATTTTTGAGGTTGGAAGGCAAGGCCCACAGATTTACATCATGTCAACAATACCTCATATCTTGCTCACGAGACTGTGGCTGTGGTTAGGTCGTCTTGACCTCTATGAGTGCTTTCTGCCTAAATGGCAGAATTCTGTTTCCGTAGAAGGAAGAATTCTCTTCAAATGTCTTGTGATTCGTTTAACACATTCCCACCAGGACAGAATTTAGTTCATATACTAGGGTACCTGTGGTTCCCAGACCAGTGACCTCACAGCTGTGCTGTCTGCTATCCAAGGTGCAGGTGACTAAATGGGCGAGAAAACGTCCTTATCTTGAAGATCTGAAGGGTTTTTCTGGGTCCGCCCTTGACTTTAGTAGACAAAGACTCAGAGCACACACGGGGCTTGGTATTCTAAGAGCCCCCCCACCCCCCGCCTGTTGCAGTGTGTGCCTGCATGTGCGTATTATGTGTGAGTGCACGCATGCATGCATAAGTATGTATGCATGGAGGTTAGAGACAGATGCTGGCAGTCGTCCTTTTGCCCTTTGTTCAGGGAGGGAGGCTCTGTCAGTGTGACTGGTCCCATCAGACAGCTTCCTCTCTTCCAAGGCTGGTTTTACAGGTAGGCAGCCACGCCCACCTGGCACTGATGTGGGTTCTGGGGATCTGAACCCAGGTTCTCATGCTTCCATCAGGAGCACTTTAACCACAGAGTCATCTCCTCAGCCTGCTTAGTGATTTGTAAAGGACTCAATGCTTCAGTACGTCACATGGAGCACTTGGCTTAAGGCCTTCATGTAGGTTTTCGTAGAGGAGAATTTAT